TATTCTTCCTCGGTGCAATACTCCTCGTCGCCTTCGTCCTCGTTTTGGGAACGTTCCAACTGTATGAAATTGTTGGTTATCTCGTTCACAATCTGCTGACGTTCCTGTGACAATTTCTTCAGATTCTTCTTCTTGTGTGTTTTCTCGTTTTTAGAATGCAGTTCTAGTCTTTTCGATTTCACAGCATCTCTGCAATTTCTGCATAAAATCCCTCTGAGCATTGTCTGGCCTTCATTTAATGCAAAATTCACATTGTCAAATTTGCTCATATTTGATGAAATAAACTCCATGTGTTTTTTCACCTCATTTCTTAAATTCTGAAAAAGTAAGTGGTATACCGAATTAAAAATATAAAAATCTTGTTTGCGTGGAAAGATATGTAATAAATAAATGAAACTTAAATATATTGTATGATATTTGTCTTTGTCTTCAATTTGTAAGACACAACAACCTGCTTCCATTGACCATTCATGTATATAAAGGTTTCACCATCTGGTTACAATAATTTAAATGAAGAACAACCGTTTTTGAAAATAATCTATCAGTTTTTTAATCATCATAATGACAAAATCAGATAAAATATCACATACACGCACATTTTTCTCGTAATTGGTATATAGGCTTTTATAAGATAAGGTGGTAGTATAATAAGGTTATTTTATATAACTGATAATTTTCAGCCGTTTTATCTTACCTTTACTATAGTGGGTGCATCAACTTTTAAGTGTGGCGACCAAGACAAATCCATATTCATATTTTAGTTTCACTTTTACAGCAATTCTAGTTACCTATAAAAGTAAAACATCGATTAAGGTTATCTTTGAGTGACATGAACAGTATCATACTTGACGTTTTGGAGGATAATGTTCAAATAATGTAAAAATGATTTAAACATCGTTCAGTCCCATGTACACATTTTAAGAAGAAAAATAAGGTATACCAGTAAACAGTTTTGTACTCATTCCAGCTTCGACGATTTTGCTTTCATATCAAAGTTAACCATTAAACCATTTTTCCAAACTGCGTCTTTCGTTGATAGGTAAATATTTCTATATGGGGGTATAAACAGTATGAGGATACTAAAGGGCAAACATAAATTTATATAGGTAAACATTAAAATAAAATTTTAGAATTGCAATTATATATTATGATGCGTTTGTGATCAGTGTCTACGTCACTCAGAAACACCGTTCAGTGCATAAGACAGACAGACAGACAGACAGACAGACAGACAGACGTCTATGAAATATGGTCAAGTTTTTTTTATAAAATTAAGTCTTCTTAACATGTCGATTCAAAGAAGCAAACTAGTACCAGTTTTCAAACATTGACTCCCACTTTCATCAAACTTGATCTATTTGTGTACACTGTGGGTTCTTGTATCTCTTAATATTTGTGGGTTTGTTCAAACCTAAAACAGGTGGGTTTTTTAATATTCATTTTCTGTTACATGAAAACACTAATAAGAACATTTTTGATAATCACAGTTCTGACTAATTTTAATCCTGATTAACGATTGTTAAACAGCTCAATTAATAATCAACTTAATGTCACAATCCGTTGTCGTGAAATGTTATAACGACGCCATAATCAAATTTGAAATTAACAATATCATGTTTTATCATATTGTAGAATTCACAGTCGATATGAAAAGACCATTCAAACGTAAACAAAATAACAGAACTATGATGCGGTTGTGTTCACCGTCTACGTCACCCAGAAACGTCACTCAGTACAGACAGACAGACAGACGGACAGAGACAGACAGACAGACAGACAGACAGACAGAGACAAAACTATGTAGTTACTACAAACTCATTGTAGAATTAGCTAACGTATGAGCATGCATTAGCATGATCCTAGATTAATAAACAATCATGATATACTTAAAGATGGTTCCAGTTTATATCTGGTTTTTTCTATGTACTATGCTCATTGTTTTCTTTTTACAAAGATGTAGATGTTAATTAAATCAAAACATAAAAGCATAATACATGTCGTAATTATATTGCGGTTTGATATGATGTCACTTGCGGTATAAAGACAGTTTAGATTTGTTTTCCTTACATGTATATTAAAACGATTGGAAAATTGACAGGAAGCCATCTCTTGCAAAAACTGTTATTTGCAAAACTCCTGAAACTATCTCACCAGAAACTACACAAGTAGACATGCATTGTATATCACAACAAACTAGAGAAATGACATAGTCAATTAGCATAGTGTTTGATAACTGAACTTAAATTACTTTGCTCCTAGATTTTTTTTGATTTTTTTTTTAGTTTGTTTATGGTTTAATGATACATGTACATCTATATAACAAGATCATCAACAGTAACTTCATAGTAAAAGTGCGGTCGGTGACGAAATGAGGCCAGTTCAGATTAACCATTTCGTTCAGATAAACCATAACCTCCTTCACTCATAATTTCTTTTAACTTCCTAGTATTCATTATTTTAGCGATATTGTTAAATCAATTAGACTGTTACATACAACTTAGCATAGGTTACCTCATAGGTAAGCCTCGGCTAATTTGCATACCTCTACAAGTATGATATCTCAACTCTTGGCCTCAAGAAAAAGGGATACCCCTACACGTATGCCACATCACCAAAACTACAAACCCCTACACGTATGACACATCAGCAAAATTACATATCCCTACACGTATGACACATCAGCAAAATTACATATCCCTACACGGATGCAAGCTCAGGCTTTAGCCTGAGTAAAATTACATACCCGTACACGTATGATATCACAGGCTTTAACCTCAGTGAAAGTACATACCCCTACAAGTATAACATATCAGGCTTAAGCCTCAGTAAAATTACATACCCCTACACGTATCATGTTTCAGGCTTTAGTCTCAGTAAAATTGCATACCCCTACTTGTATGCAATCTCAGGTTTAACCTCAGTAAATGTACATACCGCTACAAGAATGATACCTTAGGTTTAAGCCTCAGAAAAAGTACATACCCATCACTGTATTATCAATACTGTGCTGATAAAATACGGGATACCCTACACGTATGTAATCTCAGACTTTAACCTCAGTAAAATTACATACCGTTACAATAATGATATCTTAGGTTTAAGCCTCAGACAAATTACATACCCCTAGATGTATGCAATCTCAGGCTTTAGCTTCAGTAAAATGACATACTTCTCAGTACACGAATGATATCTCAGGTTTTAGCCTCAGTAAAATTACATACCCCTACACGTATTATATCTCAGGCTTAGGCTCAGTAAAATTACATACCCCTACACGCATGATATATCAGGCTTAGGCTCAGTAAAATTACATACCCCTACACGCATGATATCTCAGTCTTAGGCTCAGTAAAATTACATACCCCTACACGCATGATATCTCAGGTTTAGACTCAGTAAAATTACATTCCCCTACATGTATGCAATCTCGTATGTGTTATTGTCACTCATACTTGTTGAGCTATTCTATATTTACAGTATCGCGAAGATTTAACTGTCATGATCCGGTCGTTAATGGCGTGATTAGTTCTTTAAATGTAAGGGTTATCTCCCTTCATCCGTTGACTTTGTTGCCATTAGCAACGACGGAGCGATTCGCGGTAATATCAACATGTCTTGATAATGTAAATGTTTTCTTTTTATACCTTTATGTTTTGTGTACTTTTAATCTCTGTGTCCATTATTGAAGAAATAAAATATTGTATAAGTAGTGTAAGGTTGACTATACACCCTTCGTTTTGTAGCAGATTGAACGTATGCCCATGTGTAGAGCCAAAACAAAAATTATAAATACTAAGCTATAAAGAAGTCTAGTGCACACCTTGTACATGGTACATTTATATGCACATACACATATGTTGAAAGTATGTATTATAATATAGAATATATTAATGCATTAATCTGACTTCTTTATGCGATTGTCTTCATCTATCTCAGATTAGAGATTGAGTTTTTACTCATTTGATCATTGTCGATTTAGTCAGATAAAAGTTACTATTATTAATTAAAGTAGAATTATTGTAATGTTGTGATTTGCAGAAGGTTGTTGACCACTAACGTCCGAAACCGACCAGTAAATGATAGTTAGCCTAAGCTGACATCGAGCACCAACAAAAAAGGTAAAACTTAAGAAATGCCCATTCAACTCAAGTCTGTATTTAAACATTAGTGACATTATTCATTTTGAAATATGGAACAAAATTGTGTACATGAGAAGTACAGTCGATTATCAAAATCATGTTTAGATGCCTTCAGTGTTTGCGTCGCACACAATAGTATATACCACATTTGTAGATGTGTAGAAACTGTTATACATTTTTGTTTGTATAAGATGTATGCTACGTCGTCTTCCTGTTTAGGCTTTCAAAACATGCTTTTTTCTAAATTTACTTCAGACCTGCCCAAACATTCATATAGTACTTTTTCAGTTCTTTTTGCAATTAAAGATTAGCCAAATAAAAGCAAGTAAAGATAGATCAATTTTACCTGTATGAATGGGAGGGCAAGTCTTCTTTCGTTTCCACTATCGTAGAATGCTACTTTCGTTTCTGCAAAGACGCGTAGAAAGCCGGGTATTCGTCGTTGATTTTTTTCCGATTTGTTGCTGTTTGAAGTTTAATTCTTATTAGCTAGACAAAGGTCACAGATATGTCTTAGAAGCGGATCTACTATAATGCAGAAAGTAGATATTGCTACAAGGTATGCACGATATGACTGTGTAAATGACTGGAACGTAAATCATTTGATTTAAATAAAAGGGAATAAGAGAGGAAGTTCTGGATGTAAAGAAACATGCAACGTATTGATACATTTCTATCGATCACAGTTCAGCTAGGCTTATAGCCGGCTCTTGAAAGCATCACATATTTACATCTTTCAGACCTGAATCAAAATCTTTGTAAACTTCGGATTTTCCTCAATTCATAGAATTTCCTCTTATTTAGATTTTCATTAACTTTAAATAGTTCATAAAAGTACGGCCAGATATTATTAAAACAAACCTTTCTTGTTGAAACCACGTCCTGTCAGAATTATGAAACGTGGATAACACTTACGGAAAACCCTAGTTTCGTTTTGAGTTCCGAGAAACGTATGCTGGCCTTGAGTATTATCTGGTTCTATATATAGGTATCACGGGACCTCCTCTGTTCGATGTCTACGCATGGCTATACTTTGTATACCAGAGGGTTGTTGGGGGCGTTGTTATGACGGGTTTCCCGTTGTAGATACTTTCCCTTTCGCCTTGTGTATTCACCTATTTATTTATGCATTCCTTAAATTTCATATCAATCTTAGATATTACTTTAATGCTGTAAGTTTTTTTATTTTCAATTAACTTTTACAAAATGACAATTAAGCAGCTGTCGATTATCAAACCTCTCTTTTTATGTTTAAACACATTTACGTATAAACAAAATCGATCTCGTCATTAAGTGGAAATTAATTTTAATAGTTTAATTAACTACATCTTTCAACACTTGGTGAACATGCGGTCAAATTATTGGCTGAACAACTTATCAATCTGACAGACTTACAATTAGATCAATACTACGCTCATAAATACGGGATAATGTATTTTTATCATATATCTTAATATATTAAACTGTGTAAGATTCACACAATACGTGTTTATAATCATGGAAATCAGTGAGTCCCATGCGCTTATTTACTTATTTATTGGCTGCTCCCAAATGATTCTGTTTACACATCAGCCATGGGATTCTGTTTACACATCACCCATGGGATTATGTTTACATATCACCCGTGGGATTCTGTTTGCACATCACCCATGGGATTCTGTTTACACATCGCCCAAAGTATTCTGTTTACACATCACCCATGGGATTCTGTTTACACATCACCCAAAGTATTCTGTTTACACATCACCCGTGGGATTCTGTTTACACATCACCCAAAGTATTCTGTTTACACATCACCCATGGGATTCTGTTTACACATCACCCA